TCTGGGAGGGATAAAATTTACTTTCTTTTGCAGGAGTAATTCATTCATTTCAACAGGCCATTGTGGTTTAACTGTTAGAAAGTCCAAGAATGCCTGTGTCAGACGTTTCCTTCCAACATTTTATCCTATACTGTCATTTTGTCAATTATCTTCAAAGCTCTTCAGCCAATTTAATGCTGTCAGCAGAAAACAATGCTGGGATACTGCAGTTTTTTCAGGGAGAAGTGGAAAATAAAGTACCCAAAATCTCAAGATGTTTGGAAATAGCTGAATGACTCAGTAAAAAAGGAAGCCCAGTCCACTCAGCAAGGTAACTTTTCCAAATAAGCTAATAAAATCTTAACCAAACAAGATATTGTATGAATAAGAAATAGTAAAATAAAAGCTGTCCTAAATAAGTAAATAAATTCACTCACACAGACACGCACCTACACTTAAATCTTTTAGTAAGAAGTTTAGCTAAAACCTGATAGCAAAAAATAATCTTTACATCTTCTTCCATCTTCATTTCACCTTCTTTGGTCTGCTTAAAGAGGGGGAGAGAAAGGACTGCTGAAAAGGACCCCAGATTCACTGAGGATTACACAGGGCCTTCGCAATTGATAAAGATCTCCCCATTTTTAGAATAATTTATTGGATTAATTCATATCAAAACCGGCAATTATTCCTCAGACAAAACAGGTTCTAGTTTGGATCTGAATACACAGGTCTACTGCATGATAGTTTCACATGTTTCTGCATTTAAAATCTCCTGTTGCATGGCTGCAGCATGGACCTTTGGAAAAAAATTAATTCCTGTGAGGGACAGCAGCTCCATTTAGCACCCAGAGTTTGTCATTCCACAAAAACTGCAGCACTGAACTCCGCAGAGGGCAGATACAGAGTGAGAACATCTGTGACCACTTAGGTTAATTGCCTTTCCCAACTCTTCCCCCACTTCTGGGCTCTGATGGCCCCCTGAAGATCAATGGCAAGTCACCAGGCATCTTATTGCAGGCATTCTGCCATCCTGCCCCATCTCCTGGGGTTATCTAAATCTGGTTTCAAGTCTGCCTTCAGAGGGTCTCAGAGGGCTACTTACAGAGTCTGCTGTCTCCTTTGTCCTGGCTTCCTCCAGAGAGCAACAGCCAGGGAAGCTTCTCTACTTCACAACACCAACATCGTGGCACATTATGTCTCCTGTAGCAGCCTCAGACACAGCTCTGAGAGAAGTCGTGCAGGTCCCTGCTCTAAATAGTTACTTTACTCTTTACTTTCATAGCAAAAGAATATTTTCTGGTAAAAGGTGATACAGATGATAATTCAAATGCACTGTTATCTAAATATCCATTTACACTATTATCTTTTGCTGGAATATACTGTAGTTTTTCAGAAGAAAGTCAATATTTCCAAAAATGCTTATCAAAAAGGATGGTGACAGCGCTGATGCGTGGAAATGATTTGAGCCTTACCTCCTCTTCCATTACACTGAATCTAAACTCAAGGTACATAAAAGAAAGAAAAAAGAAAAGCAAGTTTGAAATCACTATTGAAACCCACAGCAACTAAAAAAGTGCCTTCTTTTTTGAAAGCAAGCACTGAAATTCATGCAGTGACCGCTGCCCCAGGTCTCACTGCGGTTCTACCTCAGCACTACAGTGGCTTGCTAGCTTCCTTCCTGAAACTCTTCAGATGTGGCAAGTTGGCTGTGGCTGCAAAGACCGGGGGTGTCATGAGAAAGATGAGATGTCAAAGCTGCAGGAAACAATTGAAACTGGTTATTTTTAGCAATGGTTATTAAAGGCCGGCACAGAGATCTTTAGCGATGTACAACCCATTTATATCCTCTGTCTGTTTTTCAGCCTATCAAGCTGAAACTCCCTGACCAGGGACAGGGAGAACCTTCTTGCCAACTGTGTCACACCACTGACAACCAAGCAAGCTGTCCTGGCGCCTCGCTCCTGAGGGGTGCAGCTCTTTTTCAGGCAGTCTTCTTTCTGAAAAATTGATTTGTTAGTACTGTTGTAGACTCCTCAGAGACTTACAAGAATAAGAAAGTACTGGGGATAAGTTATACTTTAACTTTTCACCAAAAAATGCTTCCTCCTGATTCTTAAGGCAAAATCGGAATCTTGACTGCAACTAATAATGCATTTAAAAAGTCAACATGCACGTAACTTCATCTTCTTGTGTGAAAGTAAATAATCCATGGAGCCTTGTACCTGTAGTTTGTAATGATCTCAGGAATCGGAAATAAGCAAAGAAATAAGAACTCTTTTGCCTTTTGAAAAATGAGGGTTATGTTTCCCCCTTCCCAGTCACCGGGAACTTCACTGGACTGCCACGACTTCTCAAGCTGTGTCTTAGCAACTTCATCCTCCAGTCTCTCAGCACCCTCCTTTTTTCAGGTATTTCATTTCTATTTTCACAATGTAGTAGATATGCTGGCATAATAAAAGGCAAAAATTTAGGTCTGTTTTGTTCACGTCGAAATGGCCAATTTTTCCTGTGTTATTTCTGAGACTCCTTTTGCTGCTGAGAATCAAATTAAAAAAAAATTGGGGGCAAAATTTCATTTGACTTGTCTCTGAGATTGCTCATAAAGTCGTGGATGGAATTCTGTTAGGGTTAAGGTGGTGGAACATCAACCATTCCAGCTGTGAATTTCAACCCAGTTACTCAACACACACCAGAAAGCTCCCACATGGGAGCTGAGGAGACAGCAGTTTCTGCGCTCACCTGGGTGCACAGCTCCCATCCAGCACAACCCTGTGAACACAAAAAGAAGTGGGCCTTGGCAGCAGACGGCAGGCTTCCAGAAGGAGAAGGCACCCGGACTTCGTTTCCACGAGGCAGAAGGCAATGAGTCCACATTGTCTGCGTGCCAAGAAGCTGGAGCTGACTCACTGCCGGAGTTCCCCTTGGGAGGGACAAGTGCCTAGAGAATTGACAGACACCTTCATTTCTTCACTAAGCAGAGTTGTCTGGTCATAAATGAAAGTGAAGTTTCTGGGAAAAATACAGAGAATGTGCAATGGCAGAACAAGAGCGGTGCAGAAGACTCTGCAAGACTGCATGACCTTATTACTGTGAAAGCCGTACATGATGACAGTAACAACTCCAGCCACAACAACTGCAGAGCAGGTCTGCAGATAACAAGAATTGTTACATACTTTTAATATCTGCTGAACCAACATGTTCATACAACTTACTGACCAAAACATACTCAAATGGCAAGGCAGGAAGTTTTTCTAAGCCTTCTCTCAGCCAGCGGTGCCACTGACTGCATTAAGATGTTTGAGTGTACTGCTCTCCTCCCTGACCACAAATGCACAGACAGATCCATACTGTGGTGGGCTGGCAGCGGGGAGAGGTGACCAAGGCAGGCTGCTGAGCCAGGCCCCACGCACAGCCCTAGACACAGCCTTGTACTTATTTGGAATAAGAGCGCATTTTGATGAGCTAAGCAACCAAACTGGGTTAATAGCCAGTTTGTCAACAACTTGTTTTGGCTTGCTGACAAGACCACGGTTGTTTATCCCGAGTAAACTCAGTCTTGGCTGATTTTGTTCCCAGGAAAACGAAGAACCCCAAAGGTCCCCTCACAGTACCAGTAGTGAGCAAGGATTTGGGAGGCTCTGGGCTGAGGACTGGCTGGGAACCTCTGATGCTCCACACAGACTCATCATACACGATCAGAGCAAGGAGATGATGAGTGCTCAGACAGCCCAGCCACACTGCCCTGCTAATGCAGCAATGCTCTGTGTGTGTGTCAGTGGCCAAGATGCTTTCCCAAACATCTGGAAAGCTCTGGTGTCCTTTGAGCTGCTGTGGGGACACTCCCCGAATGACACCAGAACTACACCAGCCAGACCTAAGCACATTTATAGGTAACAAATAACCAAGTACTTCCTTTCACAAGTGCACCAGGGCATCCTGATGATAGGTGTGCAACGCAACAAGAGCATTCCAAAATATTTTTCCAAAAAAACATTTCTGAGACCAAGGATTGTTTGCTTAATTTATTAACATGTTTACAAACCCAGTTTCAAAAGCCTTGACATATCAAGAAATGCAAGGGAAATACAGGCATGTTGGTCTTTAGGTTTTGGGGGTCGTGAGCAGAAGCAGAGGTCGAAGCAGAAAATGCTTCTCTAGATTAAGAGTTTGGTGAAGGTTGGCTGGTTTTATAGTGCAAGCTGCTGTCACGTAAACATTAGCAACTCCTCAAAGACAAAAAATGTGTGCATGTTTCTAATTTTAAGCACATGAGGTCATCAGTGGAGTGCTTGAGGTCTGTGCGGGTCGGGCGGAGGGATGCGCTGCCCGGTCTTGCCGACCGGATTGCAGCTCCGCTCGGGCTGACTCAGAGGCACTCACACTCCACTTGCTTCACCCAGATGCTGACGCAGGCTTTTACAAGTCTCCACAAAGTCTGAGCGTCGACCTTCCCCAGGAATAAGGAGGCACGGACGGGCATCACACCCCTCGCCGTCCCGCCCCGCCTTCCTCGGGCCTCCTCCGCCGCCCCCAACGCCGGCAGCCCGAGGGGCCCCTCCGAGGCAGCGCACGGCCGCCCCGGCCGCCTCCCCGGGCTCACCGCCCCTCGGGGACGGCACCGCCGGCCCGGCCCGCCCGCACCGCCCTGCGCTCCCTGCGTTGCGGGGCAGGGGGCGGGGAGGAGCAGGAGGAGGAGAGAGCCGGGGAAGGCAGCGCGGGGCCGCGGGAGGAGGGAGGAGTCGCCGCCGCCGCCGGATGCTGCGAGGAGGCGTCGCGGCCCCCCTGCGCCGCCGGCCGCTCACCTGAGCGGGCAGGAGGGCGGAGGAGGAGGAGCCGGCGGCCGAGCTACGCGGAGCCCGGCGGCGGCGAGGCGGGCGGCAGCGCGGCGGGCGAGGCCATGGCGGCGGGCGCCTAGCGGGGCCGGCAGCAGGCCCGCAGCCCGCCCTGAGCGCCCCGCTGCCGGCGGGGACAGCGGGCGGCCTCCACCGCCCGGCCGCGGCCTACGACAGCGGGCGGCCTTCCCGAGCGCGCCGGGCGCGGCGCCGCGGCCCACAAGATGTCCACTCGCACCCCGCTGCCCACCGTCAACGAGCGGGACACGGAGAACGTGAGTGCCGCGCCGGGCGTCCCCCCTGCCTTCGCCTTCGCGGCGCCGCCGCCTGCCCCCGCCTCGGGTCGCTCCGCGCGGGGCTGCTGGCACGCATTGTTCGGCCGGGCCGGGCCGCCCTGCCCTTATATGTACTGAGCGCAGCCCGGCGCCCCGCGCACACACGGGCGGTCGGCCTCGGTGCTCCGCCGGGAGCGGCCTTCTGCCCGGCCTGCCTCCAGCCCGGCCTGCCCACGCCTTGCGGGCTCCTCCGGCGCTGCGTGCTTGTTAGGCTGCCGGCCGGCCGTACTGCTCTTTGTCTGGTCTGCACCTTGGAGATGGGCTCCTGCTTTCCTGTTGCTGTATTCCTTCCTCTGGTTTGCTTTGTGTTCTCGGCCTCGGTATGTCCCGAGTTGATTGTTTGGATCTTCCTTTGTGTTCCGCTCAAACATCTTTGCGCTCTTCCTCTGCTCCGCCCGGGCTTGGTGCAGTTGAAGCGTCGTGTTGTTCTCCATTGTCGTGACCTTCCCGTGGAAAATAACCCGTCTCTTGTCATGGTAGGCAGAGTACCCAACCAATTCTAAAGGCCTGGACTTTGTCTAGTCCTTTCCGCTGGTGGGAATTACTTAAGTGGGCGCAGCATGGGAGGTGTGAAGGTGAGAGAACCAAGATTAGAAGAGTTATGTTTGGAATGTGCGCTCGATATCATTGGTTGCCTTTGGGAAGGCGAAGGTGCAGGAGCGCTCCTATGAAATGTCTCACGTGTGGTTCTTCCCATTTTCTAGTTGGGTAGAAGGTAATCGTTAGGAAACGAAGGGAGTTGGTGAGGTAGGTTAGAACAGGAGGAGGTGTTTGGGGGTTATGGCCAGCATTAGGCCTTGCCTGTACGAGCTGAAGAAGCCGTGTCTGCTTGATTGGGTTATTGAATTATATGAAGAGGCTTTAGTAGGTGAAGGTAGCAGAAATATGATAATGTAGCTAAAGAACTGAAGGCTTTAATCTCAGTCGCTAAGTGAAAATTTAATTGACAAGGCAACATCAGCATAGTTGAAACTTAAAGCAAGTAGATGTACTTGGCCTGTCCTCATTATTTGTTCATGGGCTGCCTCTCCTCTGTTGGTGTCAGAATGGAAGCACGCAAGTCCTTGAGATGAAATGAGTGTTTAGATTTCATTAAATGACAAGATCCCAATTTGAGTGATATGTGTTACTTATGAGTTTCTATTTCAAATGTATATAGGAATGTAGAGGAGGGGTAGATGGCAGAAGGAGATAAGAAATATTTATGCATAAACCAGGAGTACAGTACGTAAGACTTGCAAAGTGTCTTACACAAGGCAAATGGAAATATTTTCAAACATCATCAACTTCTGTGAAATGAGAACTACAAGTGTTAGTAGTTCACTTAGAAAACATGCTAATTTTGAATGGTCTGCTTTGACAGCTAGATATAGGTAAGGATATATTCTCTTCTTTCAGAGAGGGCATTGGGCTTCTAAAATTGGGTTAGAATATCGAAGTCTTCAGAATTGCGCATTTGCTACTGCAAATCTTGGTATAAGTCTGTAACGTAATACTAATGAATATAATCCTCTAGTGAGATGAACAGTAAAGAGCTGTTCAGCAGTGAGTTCCCAAATCTGCCCCAAGTAGTTTTGTTCTGGTGCTGTTGTGAGTGGGGTTCTGGCGCAGGGATCCAGGGAAGCCCTTTGGGTGTTGCTGGGCTCCCCAGCCTCAGAGCTAAAGTGAGGAATGTGGGGTGAAGAAGGTGGCCTGCTGGTGACTTTAGAGCAGCAAAATCCCTTGGTTTAAAATGGGCTCTGTCAGAGTGAGGTGAGACGCTTAATTTACTCTTAATGTGCTTCCTCCTGCTAATAAGCACTAATGGACTGGCAAAGCATTTGTGCCGTCTGGATGCATGAAGGTTAGCTAGTAAGTAGTAGTAACTGGGTAGTGAGACCTTGCAACTAATGGGAAGGCTGAGAAAGCAAGAGCTAAAGAGCAGCGTGAGTGTTTTTGGCCCAGTGAACTAACTCCCTCTTTGTAGTGCATATTTTCAATTCCCAAGCACTTCTATTACTGAAGCTCTCAGAAGACATGCAGTTAACAGTGATCTTCCTTTCCCTCCGCCACGGCTGCCTCTCAGAAGTGTTGCTCCATTGTGTGGCTCTCAAGGGACAGATTGTAGCTCTGGATCCCGGAGAGAGCTGATTGATGGCTCTGAGTACAAACCTACGGATGCGTCCAGCTGTGCTCTGCACATGGCGTGAGTTCGTTGCATGAAGTCATCGGGACCTACCCGACCACTGCCACCCCTGCTCCCTTGGCAGCTGCCAGCAATGTCCTTTTAGAGAAAAAAATACATGCATTTGTGTATATATTTCCAGTGTACCCTTTTCTCAGCGAGTATGCAAGCATGAGTTCTGACATTAGAAAAACGAAATCAGATATAGCACTTGTCGTAAGAATATACGTGCCTTGAAGATTCATGGGAGCTGCTGGCTGGATGTGTGAAAACTGTGCAGGTTTCCACAATTGTTTGTGCCTTGTATGCCACAGTGCCCTCAGAAGGCAGTCCAGACGGAATCGGGTCGTGCAGCAGATTAGCTGATAAGCTCTTATCAGCAAGATGGAGTGAAAGGTAAGAGGGCTGATGACAGTGGGCAAACAACAGGTGGAGGGGAACGGTCGTTGTGGAACAGTCAGTATGTGTGTAACTGATAGGGCTGTGCTGTATAAAGTCACACCCATTTTTTCCTCTTCCTGTTCTCCCTTTTATCTCCCAGTGCAGTATTTTAATTTTTCTAATGCAGATGTCTCTAAGTGTTTTTCACTGGAAATTCTATTTCTCTTTCACCAAAATTATGTTTAAAGAAACAAAATATAGTTGTCAAACATTTTTCTTATTGAATGGTCAGTTGGGAAAGTTGAGGGAAGTTGATGGGTGGAGGCAGCGCAGTAAAGATTATTTTTATGCCTATTATCAGCTTTTTGTTTTGTTTAAAGTGAGGGGTAATAGTAACATTGAAAATAAATGTTCTTCTATGTTTTGATTTTGTATATGTAGCTATTTGCAGCTTGCTCTTGGTAGTGCTGTGTAGGCTGCTGTAGGTAGTGTGTCTGCATTCAGACAGTTGCAGTTGGGGTTAGTTTGGGTGAACAGAGCTTCCCATCTCTGCTGAGGCTGCAGGAGGAGAGGGATGGGAATCCGAGTCTGTGAGCTTGCAGCTCTTTTGTTTTCACTGAGTTGGGATTAATTGAGGAAAGAGGGGCTTTTGTGTTTTCCCCTTTCTATTGTACTGTACAGTGATTAAATTTGGGAATGGTCTTGAATTAAAGCAAAAGAAAAGAAATGTGTTGGTAATGTATTCTGTTCAGTGTGTTTTGAGAGTTCTGTATAAGAAAAGACGCATGGAGATGTGGCAGTGAGCTGTATGCCACTTGTTCCAGTGGTACGGGTGGTACAGGGAATGCTATAGCTTGCTGCTTCTGGCATAAATGTCTCTTGGTTTGGCATAAGAGTTTTGCTGAATTTGATAGTGAAAGTCATTCGATCTTTTGAAGATAGTGCTGTGACTCTGCTGTGGCATCCTCTGAGAAAGTTTAAGGCACTGTTCTGTGCCATGGTTGCGTGTTGGCTGCAGAAGAAGCAACAACCAAGGCAGGAGTGCTGGATGGTGATGCTGGCCGAGGACGAATGTAGGAACTGCCTTTTGGCTTACCTAGCCACTGCCTTGTGAGTGTTATTCAATGTCATGACAGAGGGGAGTCTTGGAGCAGGATAGTACGGTGAGATGAGGTGATGAGATCTGCATTGTCATGTAGGTAGTTGCAGCAACCTGCACACCCCAGCTGAGGCTTGACAGGAAAGAGGATGTGTCAGGTGGCAAGAAAAGCAGATGTGGCAAAGGGAGCTGTCTGATAGTGAAGCCTAGAGGGCAGCTGCATTTCTGAGGGAAGCTAATTGAGTAGGGCAAGAGAGGAGAGGATGGGATGGAGTGATAAGGTCCGGATAATAATAATTATACCATGTTTAATTTATTTCCTTTTTTTTTTTTCTTTGCCTGGATTTGCTTTTGCACAATAAGAACACATGGCTTTGATTTGGACAGAGGGGGCGTGGGAGAAAGTATCTGACAAGAATTCTTTCTTTCACTGCCTTAAGCAGAAGGATGGCCTACTTTCCAGGCCTTGTGGGTTCAAGAGTACAGCTGTATCTTTCTTATCCACAAGAGAAGGGCTTTCGCAAACTGGAGAATGCCTGTATTTTTTTTCTGTGTATGATGAGTTTCCTTGATCATAAGAACTCCATTAGGCTGTATGTTTGTTCAAATGGCAAAAACAGGGCATGTTCCCCCAGTCTGAATGTTTCTGTTTCCTTTGTGCAGATTTTTAAAAATTTTTTATCTTTTTAGGTTTTGGCTCAAGTCTTGAGCAAGCTCCTAAGTTGTGGGGAAAGCACATGTTTAACTACAGCATAAAGCACAAAGGAGGGAGCAAGGTCCATTTTATTAACAGTTTGGATTTACTCTTCTGGGTGAATCAGAGGTGGGACGGGCGATGCACATCTTCTTTCTTTTTCTTTCCCCTTTCTGTAAAGAGAAATATTCTAGGGCAAATGATTGTACTATCTAGCTTCATGCTTCACTGTTTTTTCTAGGTGTCGTAAAGCAACCCAAGTTGCCGGAGTTTGGAAAGAGTTAATGTGGTTTGGTTGTACTGCTTGTGTCATTGCACACTTTGTGGGTTTTTGAAGGTTCACAGGTACACGTAGCATTAGATTGTTTGTGGCTGCTGTTCTGAAAACTGTATTTGGTCAGTGGATTTAAATGCATGATGAGAACAATGAGATTAAGTTGCAGCCAGCGTTGGGTGGGGGATCTCTACATCATCCTGTTCATCAGCCTGCAGAGTTGCTATTTTGTTAATATGCCTTTTTGTTTTCTAACTCTGCACTTAGAATGTCTCGATCTTCTGTAAAGGGAGGGTTTGTTTTTTTCCATGGTACCTGATTATAATTG